GGGTCCAGGGGGATCTCCATGGAGGGAGATCCTCAGCTTTCATTGGGTCCAGGGGGATCTCCAAGGAGGGAGATCCTCAGCCTTCATTGAGTCTAGGGAGGATCTCCAAGGAGGGAGATCCTCAGCCTTCATTGGGTCCAGGGGGATCTCCAAGGAGGGAGATCCTCAGCCTTCATTGGGTCCAGGGGGATCTCCAAGGAGGGAGATCCTCAGCCTTCATTGAGTCTAGGGAGGATCTCCAAGGAGGGAGATCCTCAGCCTTCATTGGGTCCAGGGGGATCTCCATGGAGGGAGATCCTCAGCCTTCATTGGGTCCAGGGAGATCTCCATGGAGGGAGATCCTCAGCCTTCATTGGGTCCAGGTCAAGCTTTTAGGGGGCCCAGGGGAGGGTGGGGGACCCCTGAAGGGGCAAGCAGCTGCCTCCTCTGCACGTGTGGCCAGGCGAGGGGGGCACCCTGCCCCACATAGCTGCCAGACCCTGCCTGCTACCAGGCGCCTGGCATGGAGTCTCCAGTGTCCCACTCTGGTTGAGCTTTGAGGGAGAGTCCATTCCCCAGTTCCTGTGGGACATGGCCCCTGGATTCCTTGGGATGTGCCATCTCCTTGGGCATCTCCTTGGGCAACTCCTTGGGCAACAACCAACTTGGGCCACTCCTTGGGCCACTCCTTGGGCCACTCCTTGGGCATCTCCTTGGGCAATTCCTTGGACAACAACCAACTTGGGCATCTCCTTGAGCATCTCCTTGGGCCACTCCTTGGGCCACTCCTTGGGCCACTCCTTGGGCACCTCTTTGGCAAGGGGGCCGCAGCGTTAACCCCTCATTTCATGACGGATTTGGGGCTTCGGACCCCCACATTTGACCCCCCCTGCCCCGCCCCCTAAGAGCATCCACGACGAGGGGGCCCGAGCAGGGGTGCAGGGGGCCCCTGGGTACCCCAAAGAGCAGGCACATCCCTTGAGCACCCCAAAAAGTGGGGGGCAGCCCCTGGGTACCCCAAAGAGCAGGCACATCCCTTGAGCACCCCAAAAAGTGGGGGGCAGCCCCTGGGTACCCCAAAGAGCAGGCACATCCCTTGAGCACCCCAAAAAGTGGGGGGCAGCCCCTGGGTACCCCAAAGAGCAGGCACATCCCTTGAGCACCCCAAAAAGTGGGGGGCAGCCCCTGGGTACCCCAAAGAGCAGGCACATCCCTTGAGCACCCCAAAAAGTGGGGGGCAGCCCCTGGGTACCCCAAAGAGCAGGCACATCCCTTGAGCACCCCAAAAAGTGGGGGGCAGCCCCTGGGTACCCCAAAGAGCAGGCACATCCCTTGAGCACCCCAAAAAGTGGGGGGCAGCCCCTGGGTACCCCAAAGAGCAGGCACATCCCTTGAGCACCCCAAAAAGTGGGGGGCAGCCCCTGGGTACCCCAAAGAGCAGGCACATCCCTTGAGCACCCCAAAAAGTGGGGGGCAGCCCCTGGGTACCCCAAAGAGCAGGCACATCCCTTGAGCACCCCAAAAAGTGGGGGGCAGCCCCTGGGTACCCCAAAGAGCAGGCACATCCCTTGAGCACCCCAAAAAGTGGGGGGCAGCCCCTGGGTACCCCAAAGAGCAGGCACATCCCTTGAGCACCCCAAAAAGTGGGGGGCAGCCCCTGGGTACCCCAAAGAGCAGGCACATCCCTTGAGCACCCCAAAAAGTGGGGGGCAGCCCCTGGGTACCCCAAAGAGCAGGCACATCCCTTGAGCACCCCAAAAAGTGGGGGGCAGCCCCTGGGTACCCCAAAGAGCAGGCACATCCCTTGAGCACCCCAAAAAGTGGGGGGCAGCCCCTGGGTACCCCAAAGAGCAGGCACATCCCTTGAGCACCCCAAAAAGTGGGGGGCAGCCCCTGGGTACCCCAAAGAGCAGGCACATCCCTTGAGCACCCCAAAAAGTGGGGGGCAGCCCCTGGGTACCCCAAAGAGCAGGCACATCCCTTGAGCACCCCAAAAAGTGGGGGGCAGCCCCTGGGTACCCCAAAGAGCAGGCACATCCCTTGAGCACCCCAAAAAGTGGGGGGCAGCCCCTGGGTACCCCAAAGAGCAGGCACATCCCTTGAGCACCCCAAAAAGTGGGGGGCAGCCCCTGGGTACCCCAAAGAGCAGGCACATCCCTTGAGCACCCCAAAAAGTGGGGGGCAGCCCCTGGGTACCCCAAAGAGCAGGCACATCCCTTGAGCACCCCAAAAAGTGGGGGGCAGCCCCTGGGTACCCCAAAGAGCAGGCACATCCCTTGAGCACCCCAAAAAGTGGGGGGCAGCCCCTGGGTACCCCAAGAACAGGGTAAGGGCCCCCTGGTTACCCCAAAGAGCAGGCAAGGACCCCCTGGGCACCCCAAAGTGTGGGTGAGCACCCCCTGGGCACCCCAAAAATCAGGCGAGGACCCCCTGGGCACCTCAAGAAGCAGGGTGCACCCCCTGTGCACCCCAAAAAGGGGGAGCACACTTTTGCATAGGGCACACAGCTCCAGATACCCTGGGGATCGGGGTGCACACCCCCGGAAAATTTGGAGAGCAAGGGGGGAGCCCCCCCCCCTCACTCCCCCCAGCCCCTCCAT